AAATGGTCATTTAAATTAAAATGGCTGCCGCGCTGAGCCGATCACCTGTTTGTTGGCTCAGCGCGCTAGTCTGGACACTCCATGGTCGACATCAAAGGCATTTGTCGACTGCTCCGTTATGCCTCATGGGATGAGATTTACCGGGGCGGTCGACAAATGCCTTTGATGTCGACCGCGGAGCATCAAGACTAGCGCGCTGAGCCGACAAACAGCTGATCAGCTCAGCGCGGCAGCCATTTTAATTTAAATGAAGCAGCGATTATTTAAATCGCTGCTTCATTGGGGTATGTCTAGTAAACTAATCTACATGGCTCTGGAGACAGAGCCATGTAGTCTAGACATACCCTAATTGTCTATTCTTTTCACATTTTTTCTCCTCTCCTCTTCATTTCTTCCCTATCCTCTCTCTTTCTTAACTCCATTCATCTAAAGAAGTGGGTTGTGCTCACGAAAGCTCATGATCCAGCTACGTGTTTTTTTGTTCTCTAAGGTGCTGCAGGATTCTTCACTGTTTTTTAAGTTTTTTCAATTACAGATTAACACGGCTCCCCCTCTGAGATTATTGAGAGTCAAGTAAAATTTAAAGAGAAGCATACCCCAGAGACACCATCTTTTATTATACCTCGACTAACAACAGGTTGATGACCGTGTCCACGCGTTCCAGTCTTTGCTCCTGAGATGCATCGATCGACCTTGCTTCAGCAGTAACGGTAAAGCTCACATTGCCTGAAAGAAAACCCCGATTCCAAGAAAGAAAATTAATTTAATGACAATGTAATTCTAGGCTTTTAAATTCACTCCTCCTTGTCTGGCCTGAAGGAACTCTGGGAAATTCCCTCCCTTCCAAAGCAGCCAATAGTGTGAATGAATTCTGGTCATTGCTTTTATTGTTGCAGTTCATCACAAATAGAATAAACTACTCTTGATTAATCTTGTCTCTGACACTTACAGGGCAGCTTGGCAGAACTTCACCGAGCCCCTTGCAAGTACCAGCAATGTGGAAATTGGAAGAAGATGCCAAAAGCTTTGTAATCAGTACAAAATGTAACAACAAAAATCCTATTACTCTGAAGCTTTTCTCTTGTTACCTTTGAGGCTAGAAATCTATTACAAGCCGGCATTTTACCATGCTGTAATTTTGGATAGAAACATTATTTTGGCTTTTGAGAGTTCACTATTCCACTATAGGGTTGGTAAAATTCTTTTCACAACAGGCTTTTTTAATGCAAGTTTGAAGTAAAATGATCTGTTATTTATATTTTTTGGATTTTAAAAAGACCCTTGTATAAAAGTTGGACCACAACGGCAATCTCTTTGCGGGAAGTCTTTGTAAGTTAAAAGATCGTGTTACACTTCCAACATTCTACACATTACGACTCTCCAAACCATTTAACCTAAAGGCTACTTTTGGAAAGAAAATATTGAAAACTTAGAGGCAGATTCTTAGCTTGGACTTTACGGTAGTCAGTGGAGCCAGTTTTCATCAGGATCTAGTTCAATATTTCTGGCACACTTTGTTGTTATTGAATGATTTCTGATTTTGGTTGCTTGCATGTAAATTTTCTATTTCCAGACCATGCTGATGAAAGCTTTATACACCTGTGGGTTTCAGTGAGCTAAGAGTGTTTAAAGAGCATGTAAAATCCTTTGTTAACAAGGAGCAAGTTCTCAGGTTTGGGCAGAGGTGGGGTTATGTACAGAAATCCTAGACAAGTAGAATCCTGCAGATGTGTCACATAAAATCAGATGAGCTGAATGGTCTTTCCTGACGCATCAGAGGACTGAACTGTCAGGAACAAAAAGAGGTAGAACACAGGGGCTTACTTCACTGTCACATGCCTGCAAAGACTGAGGCAGGGGAGATCAGCAGAGGTGCTTCAGTGAAGTCTTGTATGACTAGCAGAACTTCCCAGAGGTTCCTGTTCGTAGGTCAGTGGGTGGGTGACTGGATGTAGCCAGACAGACCCTCCCCCCCCCCATCTCATCCATCTTATTTGCCTCTCTGAGGTTCCTGAAGCATACAGGGCAGAGAAGGAGCAATAAAATCAGCATAGTCTATGCTGGCTCATCTGATCCTGAGAAGCTGAAAACATAGATATGAGGAGAGAGCGATTAAGGCAATAAGCTGGCCTCAAGGCTGCGAGAAGTGCCCAGCTGGCACCCATGTTGATACGAACACACACACAGTCCCTGGGAGAGGAATTTCCCACTGAGAAAAGAATCCCGAGTACTTCCAATTTAGTTATCTCTCTTACAAGTGTAAATTAAGTTCACAACTCCCTTGTAAGAACTGGTCTCACAAAAGACAGACCAGCACCATTTGGCATCACAGATAAGAAAGAGAAATACGTGACCCCATGGGTATAAAGGTGGGTACAGCAGCGCACTCACTTTTGAGTGTCATTCTATCCTCTATGACCCCATGAGTATAAAGGTGGTACAGCAGCACACTCCACTTTGAGTGTCAATCTACCCTCTACCTGCTGGTCGGGTTAGGTGTTTGACCTCCCGAGGTTCCACGGGGACGCCCACCTCGTATTTTCATCTTTCCTAGGAATTGAGGGACCGGCCCTGGCCTGACACGCTGGACTCAAGAGGCACAGAAGGGGGTAAAAATTGTACCTGGATGTGGTCCTCTGTCTTAAGTGTACACATAGAAAGAGTAAGCTGTTACTTGGTACCATTATTTCTATTTTTCTATCTTTATCTTCTTTGTAACCACTTTTAAGATCTATATTTTTAGCAGTTAAGAAATAGAACAATAGCCATTGTAACCATATGATTTATAAGCTTCTTTAATAAACCTGTAACTGTTTAAGTTTTAACCTGACTCCTTCAGTTGCTGTAACAGAACCAAGCACAACTTAAAAGAACTTCAGCCGGTCATAAGGAACAAGGTATAGGAACACACCCTGCCCTGACCATCGGCTGACAATGGATATACCAGCAATGGCCTTGAGAATGACAAAGGCAGAGAAGCTTACCCAGTTTTTGGGGGATAATAGTCCAGGAGGAGGTTTTCCTCTCGTTGGCACACACCCTTGCAGTGTTGCCTCCTGGGGAAATAGGCTCTATCTTGTAATCCTTGGACTCTTTCAGGATGGTACTGACCTGAGAGGAAGACAAAATAATATTTCACTGGTTGTCCTGAGTACCAGCATGAGGACTGTGTACCCACTGAGCCATTCTGGGGCAGAGGTACAACACGGGTAGGAGGGATGGGGCATTCTTCAGAGGAAATAATAAACCCTGTCTCTGGCCCTTAGGCACATCCACAGACACCATTCAAGTAGAAAGTGAACTGTACTTTTCAGAATGACTTATTCCAATACCCTGGCCAATGTCCTCTGATGGTTGTCCACTTGGTGAGGCAGTACCTGGCAAGCCATGGTATGAATCTACAGCACACTAGCATGCTAGGCACTAACTATCCACATGGGCCATGCTGCCATGAAAATTCTGTCTTATGCTTTGATGTACTCCTGTTTCAAACAGCAAATGCCAAAGGACAGACGCCTGCAAGGAGGACAGTAGCAGAACGTAGCTACCTCTCAGAATGAGTTCGTAGTTATGATACAGTCCATTTGCACTGAAGGACAGAGAATCAGTCAATAGACTGACCCAGCATAGCCTCCTCCCTTCCCTCCCCCCCACACACCCCATCACCGTGTGAGAAGCCAGTGCAAAGAAGGCTGAGCGGTTGGAATGAGACTGGGAATGCTTCGCTCTGCACTGCTGCTTTCTGCTCTAGCTGCAAGAGGTAACGCCTGCTGGAAACACGACTGAGAGCGGCTCAGGAAGGACAGGGTAAGGCCATACTGTACCTCGATGCATTTGTCCAAATAGTTGAAGGCATTGGCTATTAAATTAAACGTTTCCCCTCGGACAATGGAGTAGGGCATGGTCAGATCGACAAAGAAGGGCTGGAAGGCTGTGAGGGAGGTAGAGGGGGCTATGCCAAACCCAGCCTCCTTCTCCAGGCAGAAGGCGCTGACTTTCCATTCTGTGATGGTGTCAGGGATGGTGAATGAGACACTGGCCTTTCCATTGGAACTAAAAGTGCAAGAGACAAAGTGAGAAGAGAATTGGATCATTCACCGGGTATTTTACAGCGAATCAATAGGAGAGACTCTGAAACCATGTTCTCCTTTCCCACTTCACAGGATACCCCACTCCCTACTCAGAAAATGTGGTTAGCTTGGAGGTAGAGCTGAAATTCATAATTGTGACCACAATGTTAGAGCCCTTGTAAGGATGTTGAAGTTGCTCTTTTTTATGTTCTCCTTTCCCACTTCACAGGATACCCCACTCCCTACTCAGAAAATGTGGTTAGCTTGGAGGTAGAGCTGAAATTCATAATTGTGACCACAATGTTAGAGCCCTTGTAAGGATGTTGAAGTTGCTCTTTTTTTAAAAAAAATTAGAAAGGTAGGGGATTGGTTTAAAAAAAAAAGAAACACAAAAGAATGCTGTAGTTCTGTAAACCCAAATATCCATACCCACAAATCAGACATGGCACTGGATGGGTGACATTAAACCACAGAAATATGCACACTCAAGATCAATAGTTTTTAGGCCCTTTTCCTTGCTTTTTTGTTGCAGATTCTATTGGCAACCATGGGAGAATGCTGAAAGCAACCCACAGTTTTTCTTGGTGCTGAAAATAAAAAAAAGTATTTCCTGACCCTTTCTGCCCTTTAAACAAACAGCCTTTGATGCCATAAAGTTCCAGCAGCGAACTATCAGATTCCAGAGACTTGGAGCTGGGTAATATATGCGCATTTCCCGGGCTTCATTTGCATATTGCCGGGCACCGCCATTTTTAAATGTCCGCTAGTGCGGACTCCGTGCCCGTGGCTACACACGGCACGAACTAGACAGTTCGGATTAGGCTTCCTATTCCGAACTATCTGTACACCTTG